TATTGATATTTATAGAAAAAAACTAAGAAAAATGAAAACTGTCAATGTCCGTAAATAGCTCAAAAAGAGGCAAAATATTTTCAAATTTTTTTGGTGTGTAAAAAATGAAAACATTCAGAAAAATTTTAAGTTTTGTGATTTTTCCGTATTTTGTCAAGATTCGAACTTTAAATGCTTATAAAAAAAACTATGACTAAGGATTTTTAATATTTTTCAACTGCTATTGTAACAATAAAGCAGGAGCCTTGTATTAAATTTTCAAGCTTTTTTACCCAACAAATAAAGTTTTATTCATATTCATATTTTTTGGATGTTCTTGAAATTTCAGGGGGGGCTGCAGCCCACCCAGCCACCCCCATAAATACGCCCCTGGCCTCGCGTATAATATACAATAATATAATGTAAATAAAACATTTCCAAACATTTTAGCAGCGACTTAAAATTTAAATATGTCTCAGATAATATCAATAATGTTTATATAGTAAATACGATCAGGTACTGACGTACTGTATCAAGAAGCCAACGATATAATATGTAATTGGTTTTTATTTTTGTTTAATTTTAGTGTTGGTATTTATTTTTTCCTCGAAATGACGACGACGACGAACGTCCATAATAACAACATGGCATATAATATAATCTATATATATAAAAATGGAGACAAAAAATTCGAAATTGCATCAGTTGAGAACGGCTGGGCCGATTTTGCTCAAATTTTTTTTAAGATGTTCGTAATTGCCAGGTGAAGGTTTTTACGAAAGAAAATTTTTAAAAAGTCAACCGAATAATTAGAAAAACTGCAAAAACTATTTATTGATGTCTGGGATTTGAACTCGATACCGTTGTCTTTATTTACTCTATGGTGTATTATATTATATTGGTTGCTATTGGTTAATCGGGCATGTTTGTTGATTTGTATTATTATTTTTTGTAAATATATCTTATATATAAATGAATGACGGTGTGTAGATTAGACCTATGGGAAGAAGATACGCTAATTTAAAAAGGGTTAAATTTGGTTTTTTTTATTCATCGGATTTTAGTACGGGTAGGTTAGGTTAGGATTTATAGGTAGGTGGAATTAAGTAAAAACGTCAAACTTCGTATAACTTTGGTACTTTTTGAGTTAAATCATACACTTACGTACAAACAGCACGGGGTCCGCGATCTACCGCAGGTAAATTACCTATCTGATAATGTACTGCTGCAATTCAGAATTTTTATTCCGGGCAACAAAAAAGTTAAGATAAATCTAGCACATCATACACCGAATATTAAATAACGCATTGAACAATGTTTGAGTCATATAGAGTTGGTACATTTAACGGGAAACGAAGTGCACGGGATCAGCTAGTATAATATATTATTATATTATTATTGTGACTTGATATAATTAATTTAATGACACGAAACCTTTTAATATAAAATATTTCCTGATATTTAAATTATTTTTATCACTTATATTTATTTTTAACTATAATTTTGCTTACGATTATTTCTCCTGGTGGTAGTGATTCTCATTCGTGAACTCTGAAATTTTCGTAATGGGCAAGAGGTACTCGACTAGGTACCTATAAAAAGATAGAGAACCACTATTCTATAGTGTACCTATGGATTTCGATATAATATTGTAAATACAGGGCCTCGAATTCTAATGATGCCCAGTGCCTTGCAAAACCTGGGAACGGCACTGGGTTAGGTACCTATAAGGTATAAGGTCTATGATGTCAACGAATAATAAGAATTATTCCACCCTCAATTGTATACAGAACAGCCCAAAATATGCACCACCAACTTCGTCAAATTCCAGCAACAAAATAAATAACGATCACAATACTTCAAGACTATCAAAACGCTATGTCTTCTTTTTCAATTTCTCTATGACTAGATCAAACAAATGTGTTCAAAATGTTGAATATTTTATAAATTATTTTACTGTGTATAATATTATACCTAATGTTGTATTTAAAAAAAAACTTTACACTTATTATTTTTTAGTAGTGACCACTTAGTTACTAAACATACTTACCGTATGTTTGACTGTTTGAGTGCCGCTTGGGGAAGGTGGGCTAATTTCACTGTTTGTACGTTTTGAGGGAGTTTAATCCCCTCAAGCCTCCCCGATTTTTTCTTATCAGTTATGAGTTATGGCTATAGTTACAAGTGAAAACTAAATAACTAACAATTTTTTGGGGAAGATTTGCCATGCTGTTGAGTGGATGGGGGGTGGGACCAACTTCATCACGTCACAAAAACCACCTGTAACTTTATTACAGCATTCGTTATTTAGAACTAGTGTTTATACTTTATACAGAACCTATATTTTAGTCGGACACGGTTACACCGTTACACGGACATACAAGCACGGATTAAAAGTGTCTACTGACTACTAGTGTCTAGTATTATGATTTATGATAAATATCAGAAATTATCATAGTCTGTGGTGCAATTAGTGTGCAAATGTGCAATGGTCAATGACCAACTACTCAGTGACTAACGCAGTAACACAGAAAAAAGATTCCCTAACGAGAAACGAATATTAAAAATGTAAAAACGAGGCCAATTGGGCTGTAGTATTTTAGTCAGTAGTCAGTGACCAGACGTCTGGCGTTTCAGTTACAAAATAAATTATAATTAAATATTTAAATATATTATTATATTATAATTGTATTTAATATTTTGTCATGTACTATGTAGACAATATTCGAAGATCGCCTTTTAACACTTATCAGTTATCACTAATCGGTAAATCGAAATATTTAAACATGTGTTTAGTGTTTATTTTCTAGAATAAAAATCAACCAGTTATCACCATATTATACTTATCACCTAATTTAATTGTTGTGAATATATTATTGTGTAATTATTGAATCATTTATTCTTTGTTATAATTTGTGACGCACCTACTTAAAAAAGATGTAGTTTCTATCAATTGAAAATCAATGTTTTATTTTATTTTTATGTACAAAAACTAAAATCATTAATGTGTTCATACAAAATCGTCCTGGTGGCACTGGCATACAATATCTTTTCGCCCGTTACAGAAATCTTTGATAAGAAAATTATGGAAATCAGCTGGTAAACAAATAACAGGTATATACATAAAAAAAAAGTAAAAAAAAAATAGGTACAACATATTTTTGAGATGCCTTCGGGACGTGAATGTTGATGACGATGATGTGAGGCGTGTGCGTGTGAATGCGTCGTTTGTGCGTCTGTTGTCGTGCTCCGCCGTCGGTCGATAGGATTATAGTCATAACCGTAATTACTAATTAACATTAACATTAATAATAGTAATAATAATAATAATAACAATAACGATTAAACAACATACGCTTGTAGTGGGTATATGACGTCGGTTTCTCAATAACACCGATCAATCCGATAACCGATTTTCAAAAGGCGTTTGTCGTATCGATTTCGTCTTGTCCGTCCGTCGCGTGGGCATCTCGATCACCGGATATCGCAGCGCACGGGAAACGGACCAGTTTTTGCGTGAGCGAGAAGAACGGTCCGGCCACTTCGCCAGTCTCCACTCGCCGCCGCGTCCACTTTTGTTGCCGTCGCTTTCCGACCGTTTTGCCGCCTACGACGACGACCACGACCACGGCAGTCGTACGACATCACCACTGTCATCGCCGTCCGAATGGTGGCCAGCCGTCGTCCAAATGCAGTTGACGTCCAACTCGGCGGCCGCCGCCAACTATGCGATCCCGTGACGGGCAATTTAACATTTTGATTCAGGTAAAACAACATAAAATCGACTAACTCGCCGACGTCTCGCCGTGCACCGAGTAAACACTTGTCGTTTACTCGTGTCTTGTCCGATCCTATTGCTTGCTGTTATCCATTGACCACCGAGCTAGCTTGCAAAGCGCAGATACGTCTAAATCCTTACAACGCTACCTACCAGTTTTCCGTAAGACATTCTCATAAACAATCTTAAATAATATCTACTACATCCGCCTATTCCATTACACCTTTTGAAATCAAGTTATTTACAAAGGTGTGTAGATAAATTTCCAATAAGGTTAACAGAAAAAATATATCCAACAGAATCGTCATTATTTGAAATTTAAATTGAACAGCAACAAGTGTTGTAATATTTTTAAATAATATTGTTAATTTTCTATATTATAAAAGTAGGTATGCCATGATTATTATCTTAATTTGGCTAGTTTTGAAAATACATTTGACCTTTCCAAAAACTGGTTGGGTGTACAATTTTGAATAAACGTGTAACCATAATGATATTCTTTTTAAGTAGCCTAAGTAGCTCAAGTTACTAAAATCAATATTGATGTATTAAAATGTATTAAGTCTAACTTGTGAAATTTGTTATGGAATGTGTACCTATAGATTTTAGTAGAAAAATTTCATATAGGTACTTTAATTTTTAATAATATAATATTATGTTATTAGTATTAATTTTAGGTAGACAGACACCTATGTATTGAATTATTAATGTATAGGTACCTGATTACTTGTTTAAATATGAACTTATTGTTTATTATTTTAAAATAATTATCCCGGATAATTACAAAACTTTTCAACTATTAATATAAGGTGATTCACCAAGGATAATCCCCACCATTTTTTCTTTAATATTGAATTTATTAAAATCCCCGATTTTTTGTACAACTTAAAAGCGTTCCTGAGGTGATACAAATTTTTGTTATCCAAACGTTGCTTTTTACTGTAGATTTTTTAGTTGATGAATTTTTTGAAAATTTTGATTTTACCTATTTCTAACTTTGAATGAATAGTTTCTAAGTTATTAAAATTATTTTATTTAGTTATCTAGATACTGGTCTGTTTGAAATATTTCAGTAGGTAATATACCTAAATATTAGAATTTGATTACCTAGTTGTATGTACCAAGTATTGTTATTTAGGTAGGTAATAAAAAAATATATTTAAATTGATTAAATCACCTATTTTAAAGTATATACTAAATCTATTTATTTTTTTCAGGGTGTTATGCGTTTGAGCATAAAACAATGGGGGCCAACATGGGTAAGAGTTCAGCGTCTTTGCTGGATGCACTCCCTACACCACAAAGTCATTTGCATGTAGTCATGTTGGGCCTAGACAGTGCTGGTAAGACTACAGCTCTCTACAGACTTAAATTCAACCAGTACCTGAATACAGTTCCTACAATTGGATTTAACTGTGAAAAAGTAAAAGGAACTGTCGGTAGAGCCCGAGGTCAAACATTTCTTGTGTGGGACGTTGGTGGACAAGAAAAACTTCGACCATTATGGAAAAGTTATACTAGGTAAATATTAATTTTAATTTGATTTCTTTGATTTGAAGTTGATTAGTTGAACTACTTCTTTATTTACCTTCAACAAATTATTTTCAGGTGTACTGATGGTATATTATTCGTTGTGGACAGTGTAGATGTAGAACGGATGGAAGAAGCAAAAATGGAACTAGCCCGCACAGCAAGAGCTCCAGAAAACACAGGCGTACCAATTTTAGTATTAGCAAATAAACAAGATTTGCCTGCAGCACGAGACTCAGCAGAATTAGAAAGACTTTTAGGTCTAAATGAACTTAATCATTTGTGGCATATTCAAGCTGCTTGTGCTATAACTGGGGATGGTCTTCAAGAAGGTTTGGATGCGCTTTATGATATGATATTAAAACGCAGAAAATTAGCTAAACAAGTGAAAAAGAAAACTCGATAAATTAGTTATATGTCAGCTTAACTAATATTGTATATAAAAGTACTGCGCTATTGGGATAATGAATACATAAATATATTCTGTTTGCACCGTAATATGAAATTTCCATGACACATATTTGACAATAGACAACCCATAATGCATTTTGGCTTTGATATTGACAATATTATGTGCTAATATTTATACAGAATTAATTTATTTAACTGTTTGTTTTATATTTAAATGACATGATGAATATACTTTATGGACGTTTTATTTAAAAATATTGTAACTTACTAGTTATAATAATCTAATATTGTGTTATTTCATTGATTCCCAGTAACTACTTACATTTTTAGAACAGTGTTTAGTATATAACATTTATTTGTGTGTTTAACTGTGTTAATGTAATTTTAAAAGACCATTTAAAATCACGTTTTAATTTTTAACAATATTCCCACCGATTGTAAGTATGATTTTTATATTATAAAAATGGTAACTTTTCATAGCCTTATTGATATGGCAGCTAAAAAACTGGATGTTTGACATTTATTATTTTCACTTAAATGTTATTTGATTTACTTTAAAGAGCAACTAGTTTGTTATTAAATGTATTTGTTGTCACTCCATGGTGCTTTATTATTTTTGAAATTATATTATTGTATTATTATTTTCTTTAGTGCAATATTTCACTTGTTTAACATTACTGCTGCACTAAAAAAATGTATTCAATGAAAGGTTCAAACGTTTATGTTTTTGACTATACCCTTTTTCAATTTAATTGTTAAATATTTATTACAATATATATATATATCAGTTACAAATATGCAATTGAATTTCCATAGTTCTGATAACATACATGATGAATTATTGCTTAGTTTAATAATTCTGATAAATTGGTGTTATGCCCAGTTTTGTATACACATTTATTTTATTTATAAACATAAGAACAGTTTTTCATTATTATTCAACGCTAGCCAAATTATTATTGTTTTTTTTTTTTTTTTATGGGTCTTCTGGACCCTATCAGGTTACCATGATATGATTCTTTATTATATTTTCTCTTATCCCATACTCTTAGGTTAGGAAAAACTGTTCTAATGTTTATTATGCCCGACTTAACTGTACATATACAATATACAAATACTACTTATAAAGTGTGTAGAGTTTAATAAGAAAATAATTATATATTATTGTATAGTTTGAGTGAGTTGGGTAATTCTTAAATATTTTAGTTTCCAATTAACCTATACTCTATTTCAAATGAGAACTTACCAAGCGGCGGACGAAAACCAGTAGAAACTCCAGCAGGTCCCCACAGTTTCAGCTGCAATTTTTTATTTTGTTGTAGAGGCATGTTGCTGGCCGACTCTGATAACGATGCAGTGTGGTCTCATTTGAAATAGAGTGAACATCATAATTTTTATCTGAATACGGGTAAAGTTCATTAAACCACCAAACTTTGAATCTTTCTGAATATGTATTTGTATATTTTATTCTATATTTATCATTGTTTTAGCATAAGTTTTAATGTAACCTTTTTTTAATGCTTTGTTATTATATTTTTTACACTCATTTACAATTTTTTTTAGCATACTACTTAAAAATAGTTAAATTATTTTCATTTATATTTGTATTATCTAATGAATAAGAAGAATTATCACATTTTTTTATGCTCTAATATTTTCCTTGTTGACCTATTCTGTTGTAATGACTATATTTTCAATCCTTTTGTTTATGTGTAAATTTGTTTATATAACTTAACAACGAGACTGTTTATGTGTTTTGTTATATCGATTAACTTTTTATGTTTACATCAATTAAATGATTAAGAGTATAAATCGAATAATTGTCATTAATTAGCAATTATTGTAAGTATTTATCATTATCATTTAGAAACAATCATTTTTAAGGTTTTTTTATTTATATATATTATGTTATAAATGTTAGAAAATTGTTTAGCAGAAATTCATGTCTTGGCCTAAAATATAAATTGAATGAAATTCGTGAATCGGTCATATTATATATTATTAAATATGAATTTATTATTTTTTTTTTACACCTCCAAAAACTAATTTTAGTTTTGTTTAAAGTTAATAATAGTATTGTAATACATATTATTTCGTTTGTCTATTAAAATTTGATTTTACGTTTTTTCTAAATTTATTGTTTCTGGTAGAAAATGATAAATCATGAAATAAAATGAAAATCCAACAAATGTTCCTTATGGCATTCTTCAAACTGCACATTGGTGTTCCTGGAACTGATGTAATTTTTTCTGGATATCTAAAAACTAGAAAGCCTGATAAATTATAATATCAAACACAATTTCATAGTCTATTAGCTTGCAGAGCGTCTGCATGGTGAGATTTTTATATAATACAATTATCTTGATTTCATTCATGACTATTCATTTGACTTTATATCTATTGAAAATATCAGTATACAAAATCATAGCTCGCTTCACACATTTTGTCATTCTTAAAATACAGGGGGTCCCGTGAGGATTTACCTATTAGCCGTAGAGGGGGACTCGCCGCCCGGACAAAAACCGGTCTTTTGCCGTTTTAGTTATTAATAAAAAAAATTATTAAAAATCAGGAAATTAATGAAATTAAAATGTTGAAACGTCAATATTTTCAGAAAAATGAACTCTACAAAATTGCAATCTTCAATATTTTTTTAAATAATTAATTAAAAAAATAATTTTTTTAACTTTTTTACCAAAACATAAAAAAAAAATAAAAAATTAGTTATTTGTAGTGCTTACCTCTGTGAGTCTTAATAAGAAAACAGAATTACGATATCTCTATTATTTCAGGAGATATCGCAATGAGTAAATCCTCACGGGACACCCTGTATACTATTCCTATTTTTTGTCTATAACTTAGCTTATATATATAAAATTATACTATATAAATTTACTTAATAGGTTTACTTGGCAAATTATTTTAACAATAAGGGTGAAACATGTTTTTTTTTAAAGCTCTGAAGGCTTTGAGTATAGTTGGTAGGTACTTCAACACAATTTAATTAAAAGTTTAAATAATTAGATGTGTGGGTTTACTTATTATTATTTCACTAAAGCCTATTACAGATGGGTCCCTTCCAGAGTCCTATGCTTATGGTTATAGGTCATTATTTAAAAACATCCCTAATCAACCATGGTTTCAATCCCTAAAGTTGAGTTGCGCTGCCATTACTAAATTCACCAGATTACGCACGGGCCACAGCCTTCTACCACACCACTCGTTTAAATTGGGACTCAAACAGTAGCATGTATTGTCCCTTTCCCAACTGTGGTGGAGAATACTGTGACTTACATCACCTTCTCATAAATTGTCCATCATTATCTACCCAAAGATTCTCTTTTCCACCTCTGGCATTAATTTTTCCCTTATCGACGTGCTCTCAACTGACAATGTTAATATAATCAATCATACGATAAAGTTTATTCTACAATCAGGCCTCCAAATTTAAGTGTGTGAGCTTTACCAATTTTTATTATTTCAGATACATGTACATAATTGTCGAGATATTATAATTATATGGTAAAATCTCATTTATTAAAAAATAAAAAGCCTATTACAGTATACCTATCAATATAATAAAAATGAAATGCTGTTCGTAGGTAACCGCATCACTTGAGAATAGCTGAACTGATTTGGTTAATTTTTTTTTTTTTTTTAATCTGTTGGAATCCAAATGATGTTTTTACAGAAAGAAAAATTGGGAAAATTTTAAGTCCTTTTTTCTCCATGGGATTTTTGTATACATTTTTTGTTTATAATTTGTCGCCATTGGTTACCTATTAAAATAATATAGACATTAGTATAACTTTGTATTTCTCTATATAGATAGTTATTAGTTACCACTGGTTGCGTCTAATATAATTTATTGTTATTATGATTGGATATAATAATTTTAATTTTGATATTTGGCTACTATATTTATTACCCAAGTTCGTTAATCCTCAAAAAATACTGGATAGTGTTTAATAAAAGTTATATCAATAGATTTTTGGAGAATTGGAGGGTGTTTATAGTTCACTTTTACAATCCGTATACAGCTATACCAAGGTAGCTCACAAAAAAAATAATATATTTTTATTAGCCATACCTTCATGCCTTTTTTTCTACACTCAAGGGCCGTGTAGTTATTGTCTTCATATTGACTATTTTGTTTCGATACGTATCAGAAATTAAAGTTACAATTACTAGAGTTAAATGTAATGTTATTAATTAGATTTGGCTAGCCACATGTCAGAATTTTCATAAATAAGTTGTAGTATCTTTTAAAAATCCAGAGATATTAGCTTTAGAGGTTTTAAATTCAGCAAATTATATTATAACTATAGATAATATATTTATTAGGGTGGTCCTTATTTTTCATTTTTTTGAGATTACCCCCCCCCCCCCTAAAAAGGTTAAGTCACCTGAAAAAACCATACAAATAAAGTTTCATGCATATTATTTAATTTTAACCCGTGCCGCAAAAGCTCCAAAGTTACAAAAATAGAACATTTTCAATATTTTAATTTTTTTTGATATTCTTAAAAATAACTCTGGAAATAAAAATGTTACAAAAAATTTGTTAAGATACAATGATAGAAAACTAAATTTACTAAAATTTGTTTCATATAGATTAGATTCCAAATATTTTATTTTTTCGAATATTTTAATCAAAAAATTAAAAAAAAAAAAAATCTTGAAAATTGAGATATTTCCATCAGCATAACATACAAATAATCGTGAAAACAATTTACAATAAATAATAACACTTATAATTTTAACATATTTTAAATATTTTTTTATTTTTTTATTTTTATTTTTTCATTGATCATTAAGCCCGGCAACTATGGCCATTAGCTGATTTTAAATATAAATGATATTATAACTAAATGTATGACTGTGTAACTTGGGTAAGTGTTTCTTTTCTATGGTCAGGATATTTTTTGTTATAATCTCTAACAACTTGTAGTAGATATTGTTTTTGAGATTCAACTTTGGTTATTTTGTTGTTATAATCTTCTATAAGTTTTACTCCTCTTTCTGCAACATCATTTATAACTGCAATATTTTTTAAAATTGACAGAGCTGTATTATAATCTGTATTATTTGCCCACATTAAAGGGTTTTCATTCAAAAAAGTGGTATTGATAGCAAATCGTTTAAAAAGATTTTTAGTGTTGACACATATAAAATCATCAATTTCCTTTTCTAATAACTCGTTTGCATTTTTTGCAAATATAATTAAACGTTGTGCATTTGAATTTAATTCTGATAAACATTCGTCGTTGTTTAGAGCATGAATCATTTTTCTTTTAGTCTTCAGTGGCACAGCCTCATCGAAAAAATCAAATGCGCATAATTCCGCCGATAAATACCATAAGTGACCACAAAACTTTTTAACTGCTATCTGAGATAGATCTTTATCTATAGAGGCATAATTTAAAAGATTTTTCATAAAAGTCAAGTCTTGTAAAGGAGCTTTGATTGAAGATGGTGAATTAAACCATACTTTTATATATAACCGTACAATAAAAATGCAAATACTTCTTAAGGCACTTTCTTCTTTGGGTGTTAATCGAAACTGTTCACGAAATAAATATATTTTCAAGCTATAAATAGCTTTTGCCATCCACCGAGCATGATGGATGGCACCTGGTATTTTAAAGCTAATATCATTTGAAAGTTTCCCGCCCAAAAAATTACTGTTAATTCTAGTAACTCTCGATAATCATCTCTTGGCTGCTTTTCTAATAGTCGATCTTTAAAAAATTTAATAATTTCGTCACATACGCCTTTAAAGAATCCATTACATTACTATTTTGTATGCCAGAATTAAAATTGTTAGGGTTAATTGTTCCCCATGCTTGTTGGAACCTTTTAAAAATTGCAACGTCTGAACCCGATGTTGCACCAAATTTCAAATCGAACACACTTTTCAATATAATTTCATATATATGATGGCTGCATGGTAAATATACTATTTCGCGTTCTAATAGTTGCTCAAGCAAAACACAAGCTCCATTTAAGCGACCTGTATTTGATGCTGTAGTATCGGAACAAAGGGCTTGTACATTTTCATCTAAACACCAATCTACAAGCGTTTGGTATATTGCATTGACTTGTTCAAGTCCAGTTCCACTATTTAACGCCGGGACCCCTAGCAGTTGTTCACGACCATATACAGACGCGATTATAGGCAGCCTATCGACTAAGCCTTTCCCGGTTAAATTTGGAAGAAGTTTTTCGTCCCAGTGTATAACAACTGCGTCTTCCTTACCTAAGCTGTTATAGTTATGACGTATTTGTTCAGCACGTTGCTTACGGTATTTTATGCGAGAGCGTCGTATCAATGATCGGTTTACAATAAGTTCATTAACATTATTACCTAAATATTACCATGGAAATAATCGCAAAATACGTGTATAGGTCTAAGTACACTACCCACCTAACGATTCTATAATTATCTCTTGTATCATAGATTAAAACGTGTAGGATCACATGCAAACCATATTATACAATATATATTAATTTTAAGTTAATTTAAATCGCATTATACGATATAAAAAACATTTTATTTATTGCCACTCAAAAAATAGTTAAACATTTTTATTTTTAAAATTTAAACTCAAATATCTTTGATAATAATATATTTAAAAAAAATGTATAAGTATAAAACTGTTGTAACAATAATAACGTACAATTAATGTCTTTAAAATAATTTTTGTAAAATCATTCTTTTAAGAGTTATGATTAATTATATTCAAAAACTAATGATTTCTAACATTTTTTCGTTATTAAAACTTTAGAGCTTTTGCGGCACGTGTTAAAGTTAACCATTTCGTCTAAAAAAATTTTCTCATGCTTTTTTTAAGTAACTGAACCTATTTGAGGGTGGTAACTTGAACATTTTGCAATTTTTTTTTACTTCATCTATAACGGAGGACCACCCTAATATTTATACTAATCTTTTGCTTCAAATGCTAACTAACCATGGTAGTAACTGAGTAACTAGCAAACAAATTACACTTATATTCACATGCATGCCTGAATATATTATTTAACATAAGATTGCTGATTATTTTATATCAGCCAATGATTAGAATTTAGAAAAGTACATTTTCAGAGTTTATACAAACTCAATCAATCAACGGTCTTATGTATGTAACTTATTACCTATGTACCTCATTACCTCAATATTTAATAATATTCCTACTTTCAAAATGGAAATTATTTCTACATACAGGAACATAATATCCAATTGAATGTTGAAACAAAAAAAACCTAGCTTATGGTTAATTTTTCTCTTAAGGTATTCAATCTTTGAAAGGTTTCATAACATTAAGTCACTAGGTACATTAAAGTAAACATAACCTACATTACCCATAATTAATTTAATAAAAAAAATCAAAATTTAAAAAATTAAATTGAGGAACATAGTATGTATAATGTATAATACTGAGGTACATTTAATTGCATCACAATAATAATTATTACCTATTTTATATAAAACATATGTACATCATTTCTTTTAAATAGTTATACTAGTAAATTATTTGATTTGATTTCTATTAACTATTAACAAACAATTATAAATAAATTTTTTGTATTTAATTAACCAATTTCACAAGATTATAAATTAAAATCAATACAGTCCAATTGTTTTTCACTTATAGTTGAAAAATGAAATACTGTTGTACAAATAAAATAACGTACAATGTAGGCAATAATCATGTAGTGTTCACATTTTGATACTTAAAAATTATAAGCTAGATATATGTCTATCAATAATAGTTGCTTTATTGATATTTAATGAAACAATGAAATTAACTCAATATGTTTCAGTTATTCATAAAAAAAAAAACGAATAACCTTAAGTAAAAATAGGTTTAAAAAAATAAAAAAATAACTTACAATACATTATTTACAAACGGAAAAAGTTTGACAAATAATTGTAACACGACCAAGAAAAAAAAACAAAAAAAAAAAAAACATCATTATATTATTATTTTTGTTTAGGATTTTTTATATTTTTATTATTTATGAAAAAAAGCACACAAAAATTAATTAAACGTGAATATTATAAGAAAAGAATTGAAATCAAACTTAATTCTAATACAACCTAATGAACAGACATATATTCAGAAGACCAGATTAAATTATTATATAAAACCCTTGTATTTTTTTTAACTGATATTTTTATAGAAACAAGTCTTGAAAACATAATACTAAAGATGTGGTAACACACGAGAAGAACTCCAATTTTAGGAATATTTATATTATTTCTGTATATATATATCTGACATATATATATAAACACAAAAAAAAAAAAACAAAAAAATTGACTATTAAAATATAATTTGTTTGTTAAGCAATTAGCACTCAAACAAACATGGAAATAGTAAGTCTATGACCATACAATTTTAGATCTACTAGAGTAGATTGATATTCACAAAGCCAGAATGAATTAAGTAGAAGCCAGAAATATAATGACTTTATACAAAATTATTCAACAACAAAATACAAATATTCAACATATTAAGGAAACTCAAAAGTTACAAATGTCAAGGATGCCATTTAGGTAAAGGTTTAAATTGAAGTTACTTTTAGTCACTGACTTCAAAGTAACTCATAGTAGGTTACTAAAATGATATACAAAAAAATTATAAATATTTATTTACATCATTATTAGACCTTAAAATTTGACCTGTTCAATTAGGCTTATAATTTTGTTATAAATTATAACAAACTATTGTATAATATAACATATAATTTTGTGTTATGTTTTAATGGTAGTATTTTATATCATACAGAAATGCGGTGAAAATTGAATAATAATAATAACACAGTCTTAATGTGTCCGCCAGGATTATTCGTCAAACGTTATACTTGCGTCTTAAGTTCAGTAAGGCGCATGTCGAGGAAATGTTGTTTCTCGATATTTGCCACCTCCATAGGCTTGTGGTGGATAACCACCACCACCTCCACTGCCCCCGCCACCACCGCCTCCTCCTCCATAGCCAATTGCAGAGTAGTCATATCCACCATATGCCCCATATGCATCATAAGCATTAGCTGCATAACCATAATCTGCAGCAGTACCATAGGGTGAAGCAGCTGCTGGTGCCATATAACCGGAATATGCTGGTCTCAAGCCAAAAGTAGCAGGTGCTCCTCCTCTAGTAGCCCCTACTGGACCACCAGTCCTGGTTCCAGGAGCGGTCATTGTTTCCGGATTGAACTTGACTTTTTTTACATCTACTTCTTTACCATTAATAACTTGTTTAGGATTTTTCAAAACTTGATTTACGACTTCGGAATCCTCAAACGTTATGAAACAAAAACCTTTCTTTTGGTTTTTCATTTTATCAAAAGGTTGTTGATACTCGGATATTTGACCAAATTGAACAAAATAATTCCTTACATCTTGTTCGGTCATTTCAGTAGTTAAGCCTCCAACAAAAATTTTACAACGCAGTGGATTAACTTTCTTTGTTACCTGCAATAATAACATAAAATAAATTACAATTATTAAATCAATATTTATTTATGGACAGTTATAAAATATGTTAAATATAAAAAGCTATGTATAGGAAATAATGTTTTATTTTTCATTTTGATGCAATAAAATACATAAAAATAAACAAGTAAAACAATTATAATGTATGAGGTAATACATTTATTACGACCTAAAGTAAATATTTCCAGATTTTAAATAAATATTAATGCAATTGAATTATCTAACAATGCATATTATATATTCTGTTCTACGAGAGAAGGAACTCATTTGAGCATACAACTGACGTTGTCAATAGTACAGAGGTCAAATTGTTCTCATTTTTTAAGGCCCAGTGGCGTACATTTGATAATCATTACCGAACAGGCTCAAGTGGTAGAAGATGTGCAGCAACAGACAAAAAAAACGAGTTCCTTCTCTCGAGTTTAGTACCTAATGTTTAATTTTTAACATGTATAATGAGATAAATCTAAGGAAAACGAGTATCTATGAGTTTAGGTCAAGCAAATCACTGTTTTTATTTCTTCAACGACGCATTGTGTAATATTAATAGGAAACATCTTCGGATGAATAAACACAACTCACCCTCTTTGGATCGACTTTTTTATTCGCAATAAAGTGATCACCAGCGGCCAACAAATCGTCCACGGTCTTGGCGTTGACGAACTGCACAAACGCAAACCCTCTGGACTGTCCGGAAAACGGGTCGGTCTTGATGTTGATGTTTTCGATCTCGCCATACTGCGTGAAGTACTCGCGCAATTCTTTCTCGCTGATGGTCCTACCTAGGCCGCCGACGAACAGTTTCTTGTCGTCATCCCGGCCGGGCCCATTGGACCGGCCATTCGGCTGCTGCGTCATGTCCTCCTGTAACACGAGAATGTCAACGATTCCGGTATGAAGATCGGCCAGCAAACGACGCTCGCGGGAGCATCCTTGGCTATACAGTGGCGATGGCCGTCGGTTCGCCGGCACCGGATGGACACGTCGTTCGAGAAATAAATAATATTATGCTCACCAGTTTGCTAAGATGTCGGCTGTCGCCGCGCTCCGCGTGTGAAAGTGTGTACGGCGATGGCGGCCGCTGTCGTAGCTGCTACCGTCGACCGGGAACAGAAACGTAAAACGTGACTAGTGTTTTCGGACGCGTGTGTGTGTGTGTTGTGTTCAAAGGTTTTTCTCGTAACGGGGAAATGTTGTAACGATTATATTATTATTTACACGCCAAGCGGCAAGCGCACACACATCGACGCTACAAGATGCGAACGGCAAACGCCATTTATCTCTCACTCTAACCGGGTTTGTTGTCTGTTGGTTGCCAACGGGAGAAAAAGAGAGCCAGTAAATAAAACAAAATGGAGGGAATGGGCGCAGTGCCGCCAACTGGTCGGACTGTCCGTGCCACGTTTGGCGGCAAACCGATGTCGCATTAAAAAAAAAAAAAAGATTGAGTAGGCGACTTCTTTTTTTCACTATACTCTAGAATTATTTGTATAATTTATGCATTTATACGATTATATCAATATATCATGTATATCGTATTATAATAACAGACGATTGTGTTGACTGTTTCTACACCATTCAACTGATGGAATGTGTGATGACGGATGGATTAATTCGAAATCTAAATACCTACCTGTATGGTAATTATTATACTATAAGCATACTGCTCTTATACTGCAGTAAGCCAGTAAGTATATTGCAGATAATATATTACGACATACTTAAACATATTTTTTTTAATATAATGCATTTATGGAATTCCATATGCACGTGCACGGATTTAAATAAACCCACGTGCATTAGTTGAAATTTTTTTTTTTTTTTTTGTCTGAATAATCATAAATTAATATAAGTGGAAATTCCGATTGAGTTATTTTTTGTTTGAATGTTTGATTATAATATTGATATCAAACAAATTGTAACTGGCCCGCCCACTATAAATTTAAACTATAAATTAGAAAATAATAAATATACGGGGGACGGAGTGGCAGAGCGGACTAAGGCGTCGGTTGCAACGCCCCCCGACGCCGGTTCGAACCCGGCCACGGGCGGCATTTTTCTTCGGGCAAGTCACGGTGTCCGGAGAGAGATGCCGCCATCCCTCACCCGGGCATGGCAGAAACCTACGGGTGCCAAAGTTGAAATTCTGCCGAACCTATAAACGTGTTTCAACCAACCATTCCAACACCCCCCCCCCCCCCCCCAACACTATAAAACAACAAAACAGATAATTTGCCCGGCTTATAGGTTCAATGAAAAAAAAAAAAAATAATAAATATACGTCAATATTGTGAATAATTATTCAAATTTTTATATTTTATAGCTTTATATTATTATATTACAGTGCGTACTGCGTAGAGGCGGGTAGAGCTGCCAATAATATTAAACGGGCATACATAATATTATAATATCCATAATATTTAAGTATGCTTCTAAATACAGCAGATGGGTTATCCGGACATGCTGCTATAGAATAGAGTATTTCTGATTTCAGTAATAACCTTCAATCGGACGACTATACGAGTTGGTTAGTGATTCCCCTTCGCACTTATCGGATTGGTTCCCGGGTTGACTACAGATAACATACGAATTGGTTCCTAGATTCTCTAAGGGTAACACACGAATTGGCTCCGATGATGAGCTTTCATAACGATAATATACAACCGTTGAACCATGTTAAATTGATTTTTCAAATTATTATGAAATTCAACCAACAACAATTTTCTTCTCATTTTACACAGACATTATATAGGACTCTAGAATAACTATAGGTATGGTTAAAAGTGTTACTGATCTCTCTATACACTACATATATACATTATATACGCTAACGTTGTATAAGTATTTGTCAATGCTAATAGAGAGAAACAACTTTATTTAAAGCGAACTGCCCGTCTGTTGGATTGCCTATATTATATTTATCCTATATTTGGATTGCCTATATTATGACACAGTGTAAACATTCAGACGTATTTGTTACAAAATTTTAAAATACGGATAACATAATATATAAATATAATTAATGAAGTTGAAAAAAAAAGTAAATCACATAATACAATATGGGAGTGATCTTGAAATATAAATATACATCATTACACTTAAAACATTAATATACTAAAAGAAAAAGGCTTTTTTAGCACGATTGTGTACAATATTAAGAATATAAATTCTCATGTATAAAATATAAATGTATAATATTAAGGGCGTCTCGCATGACAACATTTCTTTCAGTTCTCTTAATTCTAATATATTTTTTTGAAGAAGTCTGAGCAGAGGTGATGCGGTCCCACGTGCCCCAAAGACCATAAACTTCCAAATTGTTTATATGGCACTTTTCTTTAAAGAAAGGTATGGTTGGCTCGTAAATGGATTTATTTTCTTCATCCACTAACTTGTATTGGTTATCTTCGTTAGTTTCTCATAGAAGCCTACCCGCATGTGTTGTCTTACAAACGCGGAACATACCAAATTTACGCTCAGAAATTTACGTTTTATGCCCTTAGCTTAAAAATTAGAGTGAGTTGACCTATTATGAAACTTGATGGTAAGAACATTATCTTTAAGTAAGTTAGGAGCATTTTTAATTTACATTTATTGTACACGCATAACTAACTTAAAAACTGAATTACCTATTGTATAAAACTTCCAACACAGATATTACTGTATTGATGTATTACTGAATTAGCAAAATATGTAATTCTTAGAATTGTGTTATCATTTTGTGATGTCGGGGAGCCATATTATTAGCTATCACCTTATTATCTTTTCTTCGAATAAAACAATTAATATTGTCTACTATAGCAAAGATATAAAGTGTACAGTACGATTTTATTTTCTGTTGAACTGCTGCCGACTGTCGACGTTATTAAGGTATCAAATTTACGTGAGTACAACATTATGGTTAAATATTTGATCCATGAAGTGCTATTTATTCAATAGCTTCTTCAATCAAGCCAACCATGACCTATTATGTATCCCTCCATTGTGCTTATTGTAAATATATTTTTTACAGACTGTAAAATTTAAATAAAGATGACAAAAAAAAAAATATTTGATCATAATATAGGTTAGGTAATACATAACATATACATAACATATAACATATTATATAATGCTTCTCCTTCTATACCCCTACTCGTAACTCCCGGTCTAAAAATACTTTTTATCTAAACACAGAAGTAACTAATTATGCAAACAATACTCCCCATCATAGAATTATGAAAACTATAAATAAATTAAATATCGATCTGTTCATTTCACCAAACTTCAACTCATTCAAAAATTATTGTAATTTCTTACTTGTTAATTCATAGCTATATAAGTATATTATATAATAATTAATATTGTACTTTATTGTTTTTCTCTTTAATTATTCTGTTTTTGTATATTATTTTAACGATCGATTGTTGTTGTTATTATTATTATGTATGTAATTGGGCCTGGCCCATTTAAAACTTAAATAAATAAATAAATAACAGTTCCAGCGAGCGAGTGATCACGCCCGGTGTATATGAAAATGCAATGAGCTATAACTTCAAAACTAAGTCCTAGTGCCAAATTCTGACTTCCCCATCGTTTTCAGTATACTTAAGGTTTAACACCTTAACGTCCTTAATTACATACGTAAAAACAAAAAAAAATCCAATTAATGTGGGTGTGATAAATTAAAAAAGATAAAATGATATAATATGAAACATTGAACACAGAAATTGCATTCTACGCACAAATGCCCCTAAATTGCCTATCTAATTGGCCGTCAAAAATGTTATTACATTTTTAAAAAATATTGAATATTATTATTTATTAATTTATTAATTTAGTACCTAATAGGTTAGGTTAGGTTAAAATAAAATCGTATCTGTTGGTAGATACCTATAACGAGTACAACTAGTAATTTTCATAAATTATTTATTAAAATTAAAAATTCCAATCATTTTTGGAAGGCTATAATGGAAATGTAATAGATAAATATAGCTTAGTACCTAGTGTATGTTCTCTGGAGTCTGGGGAATGTGAAATGATTCTCAAACATAAAAACCATTTGATCCAGTTTACAATATTTACATTTTTTCCTATAATTTAAGAAATCGCTTTCCAATCTACACATAATTATTAAAAGGTATTTTAAAAAAGTTCATCGAAAACTACCCAGGAAAAAAATTCTCTATATTTTATTTATTGATAATATATGTTTGGTTTTTCCATTTAAAATTTATACTTTTTATAGCACCTTCTCTCGAAGAAATATAGAGAAATAACGAAAAAATATCATTGCCGTCACAGAAACAACCCGTTGGGAAAAGTGTGGTTGAATGTTTTACTATATATGTTACAGCTAACATTTTGAATCTAAAAACCAATTGTCAATAATTTAATAGTGAAGACAATAATTATATTAAAAAAGTATAAAAAGGAAAAGGTAATAATTATAGGTACTATAATTAAGTATCAAGAAAAATAGTATAATAGTACTATAGGACAAATATAAGATTAGTAGATAAACTGAAACGATATTTCCAATTATTATAAATTATTTCAGATTAAGAAGTCAAAAGACCCAATATAATTGAAGTATTAATTAAAAATATTTTTTTTTAACTATAAGAAATACATTTTTAAACACATTGTGCACATAGTGCATTTTTTTTTGATTTTTAAAACATTTTTACCTTTACTTTTTATAGTATTTTTTGTGATTTTGTAGAGTATAAAACTCCCATAACTATACAGTAATAACAACTTGCAAATTATTTTACCGAGTTATCTACTATATCTTCTGTGTCTTGCAACCATATGCGTAGTTAGGGGGGGGGGCTTGAGGGGGCTTAGTCCCCCTAGTTCGAATAATAGCCCCCCCC